ATTATGTAATTAAAGAATTGGATCAATGGTGGATTTGGAGACTAATGTGGAGATTTTCCTGTTGCTGTGACACAGATGGCTGAACAGCAGCTAAAAGAGACAGACGGCGCTAATAAAGAACACAGAGCCATTACAGCTGAGAGACGAGCGATAAAAACGAGGCGCTTGCATAGGCCGAAGCAGAACAAGAAAGCAGGCGGCTGAATGAGAGGACAGCGATGAAGGCGAAGGAATAAAAAATAGTCGAGGAGCTGGAAGGGAAGATTTGCAGGGAGCCAGAGCGGCTTTGTGAAACAACTTCCTGTTCTTTTTTGGGGGGTGGAAGAAGAACTTCTTTCGGGGTCGCCCATGAGCACAAAGTGAATGAAATCTTGTGTTTGCCAGGAGGTTTGTTTAGCTCGCCAGATTTCTGAGGAGAGGCAAGGCTACAGCCAGTTTCCCCAGTAACAGCACTGCTGGGACATTGCTAGACCAGTGGTGGGGGGAGTGGCAGCACACCACACGGCACTGACAGCATACTAATACTCCAGCCTGTAAACATGTTGTTGATTGTTGGGCTTCTTTATCAGAAAGAATACAGATTTGTTTTTGCTGACTCGTTACTCAGCAGCAGGAGAGACTAAACAGACTAACTGCTGCCAAATAAAAAGAATGTGAAACCTGGACCAAAGCTGCTTTACAGTGAGAGACGTGTCCGGCTGTATGTCGTCTACTTTGGCTCCTCAGAGAGCAGCACAGAGGGGAAACAAAACTCAGCCATCAGATCCGAGACTGTGATTTCACAGTAACAAATACGCATCTTTAAAGTCGATTATTCTGCTGTTTATTCTGGGTCTTGGTTGTTTGAGCTCCTCACCTTCTTCTCATTGGATGCCACTCACAGACAGAAGGTTTGAACAGAAGGTGGGCGGAGCTTCTGTCCCCAAAGAGTACAATAAGTGGGATATGTAGAAACTGAGCTTTTGGATCTCAAAAATGACTCGTTCATGCAGTCAGGTCCATAAATGTTTGGACAATCACTCGATGTATTTTGGTCACTCCTTCATTTAATCGCTGCTGAAGCTGTTTTTCATTTTTCCTTCACTATTTTGTTTCACTCCTAATTTCACTTCACTTTAATAACATTGCTCCCAATTCCAGCTTCATGTGAAAAGTCTTCTGTGTGTATTGATAATATACATGAAACTCATGAGATTATTATTATCATTACAGGGCTCTAGACTAACCTTTTGCCATGGGCGCCCCGGTGCGCCTAACTTGTTAGCATCGCTTAACACCGCAGTTTTACATGTGCACATTTTTTAAGAGGAAGTTGCAGTCCATACAGACAATATTCATTTCTAAATTATTAACTAACAATCTTGTGCTTAAAGTGCTTTGTCAATATTGTAGAAAGTGTTAAACTTAATCATCATCTCAGCTCCTCTGACGACCTGTTTGCTGTTGCCTGTTGCTGACAGGCAGTGGGGACACTTGGGCATTTATTGCAGCATATAATGTGTTTTCTGGATACACTGCTGCTTTTCCAGCATTCAGAGGTTGATGGCACCGTGTCAGAG